ACTGAGCAAGTCTTCGCGCACTTCGAGGAGACGCCGCAGGGCGCGGCCTCATTGGCTCAGGTGCACCGCGCGGTTCTGAAGGACGGCAGGACGGTGGCTGTGAAGGTTCAGCATCCCAAGGTTCAGTCTCAGAGCTCCCGCGACATCCGACTCATGGAGGTCAGTTATCCGTAATAACCTCCAGTCTGCCGCCTTCATTATAATAATCCCCGGGGATCCCGCCATGGAGGACACTTCCTGTTATAGGGTGACAACACTCTGCCCCCATCTCCCAATTGTCCTCCTGTGTTGTCACCCTGTCACACAGCTTATTTCAGCCGTGTGACAGATGCCATGAGAAATACCATCACTGGGGAACCCCCGCCCCATGTATTATATTTCGGGGTCACCCCCGCCCCATGTATTATATTTCAGGGTCACCCTCGCCCCATGTGTTATTTTTCGGGGGGGTCACCCTCGTCTGTGTATCATATTTTGGGGTCACCCTAGCCCCATGTGTTATTTTTCGGGGGGTCACCCTCTGTGTATCATATTTTGGGGTCACCCTAGCCCCATGTGTTATTTTTTGGGGGGGTCACCCTCGTCTGTGTATCATATTTCAGGGTCACCCTCGCCCCGTGTATCATATTTTGGGGTCACCCTCGCCCCGTGTATCATATTTCAGGGATCCCCTCGCCCCGTGTATCATATTTTGGGGTCACCCTCGCCCCGTGTATCATATTTCAGGGATCCCCTCGCCCCGTGTATCATATTTTGGGGTCGCCCTCGCCCCGTGTATCATATTTCAGGGTCACCCTTGCCCCGTGTATCATATTAGGCGGCCATGGTCTCCGGGTTTCCCTTCCTCAAGGTGGGTGTATGGAGGAGGAGGAGGATGATGGGGGTTGTAGTCCGGACAATCTATACGCAATGTCACCCTTTGTGCCGCCGTCAGATTCCCAGAATCCATTGGGAGCTGAGCACGCGGCGGCTGCTGGTCATGGAGTACGTGGAAGGCGGGCAGGTCAATGACAAGGAATACATGGAGCGGAACAAGATCGACGTGGATCAGGTGAGGCGGGCGCTGGAGGGTTAACGGGGGAGGGGCCCCATGTCAGCGGGGTCCCGCCCCCTCCCCCGGGGAGTCTGTGTCTCCGGAGCTGTAATTAGCGATGAAATCTCCATAATAGACGCAACAACGGCATCCCTCCGAGAGGGAGGACTCCCCGTTCCCTCATCACCACCGCCGCCGAGACACATCACCCCTTCACTGCCGGATCC